AAAAGCTTTCCTGAGGCTAAGTTGAGAAGTAATGGACCAATTTCTTTGGTGGAAGAAATTTCAAGACAGCCTAATGTAGAAACAGTGGCTTGGCTATTAATGGTGAATATTATGCAGAGCTACAGTGAAAGAGAGAAAATGGGGCAGAAAGAAATACAGTTTGGATTGAAAAAGAGCACTAGGAAGATTAATATTGGAGCTCTGGCATGTGATGGAGAGGATCCCCATTGACAAGGAGATTAAAGTGATTAAGGAGGGACCTAGAGAGTCACACAATTGAGAGAATGCCTCCAGGGTAAGACCACACCCAGTTAAGCCTCCAACTTGTGAAAGGAAAGTGCTGCAGGGCCCACTGAAGAGAAAAGCTTCTAACAGGGATAAAGCAGGCTGGAGTCCATCCCAAACTTGCAGTCAAACTTGGCAGTGTCGTTCACCGGGTGTTGGCTTTAGAGGCATGAAAGATGGAAGAGTGAGGGGGTCATCAATTCTTCCTCTGAGGCTTCAGAGAGCCTCAGAGGCCAGGCAGCATGAAGAAGGGATTCCCCTGCCTAGAGAAGGCCGTGATAGGCCATTGTGTGAAGCTGTGAAGGTGAAGCCTGGTTGGCAATGGAGACCCCAAGAAGTTCATGATGCCAGAGCTGTGAGGCATCTGCCAAGAAGACCTGCACACAGGGAGTGGCACCAGCACAAGAGAGAGATGTGTGTTGCACGCAGCAAAGCTAGAGAGGCTGAGCCATCTAAGCCCTTTGGAAGTAAAGTCCCAGAAGTTGGACGTGGAGCTACTGGATTTGGTGTTTGCCCTCCTGGTTTTGGTCTTGTTTTAGTCTGGTATTTCTTCACCAGTTCCACTGTATGTTGGGAGTATGTAATTTGTCTTTTGATTTTATAGAGGCTTACAGTTAAGATATTTACCTGAGTCTCAGAATAGACTTTGGACTGTGGACTTTTGAATTGTATTGAGACTGATAAAGACTATGGGGACTTTTAAAGTTGGACTAAATGCATTTGCACTTTATATGATCATGAGCCTATGGGGGCCAGGGGGTGGAATGTGGTAGTTTAAATGAAAATGTCCCCCATAGGCTCCAAGTATTTGGACATTTTGTCCCCAGATGATGGTGCTGTTTTGGGAGGTTTTAGAAGGTGTGGCCATCCTGGAGGAAGCATGTCACTGGGGGTGGGGCTTAGAGAGTTCTTAAGCCTTGCCAGATCTCCAGTTGCCTTGTTGCTTCCTGTGCCTGCTTGAAGATGTAAAGTGTAGCTTCTGCTCCTCTTCTCCAGCCACCTCTGTTACCACACCTCCCTGCCAAGACAGACAGTAATTCCCCTGGAAACATAAGCTCAAATAAATTCTTCCTTTTATAAGTTGTTTTGGTCAGTGTTTCTATCAACAACAACAGAAAAGTGACTAATACAGTAATTGGTACCAGAAGTGGGAAATATTTTATTTATTATTTTTATTTTATGAGTGTATTGCCTGTAAGTATGTGAGTGCGCTTGTGTTGTGCAATGCTGCGGAGGTCAGAAGATGGCTTTGGATTCCCCTGGAACTGGAGTTAAGGACAGTTCGTAGCCGCCATGTGGGTGCTGGGAATTGAACCCGGGTCCTCTGCAAGAGCAGTCAGTGCTCTCAACTGCTGAGCCGTCTCTCCAGCCCCTGTTTTCTTATTGGGTATGAAAGGCTGGTTGGCCTAGGCTTCAGGTTCTCTCTTTTGATTTTATATTGGAGGGGGCTGATGGCTTTAGTTCGAACAGAGTTCCCACAGAGGTCCAAGTTGGGCGAAAATTAGATGCTTTTAGGCTTTCTCCTAAGGTCTGGGCCCCTCTAGTCAGCAGGCAGAGCACAATTTGGAAAGCTTGCTCGGTGGAGACTGGATTCAGGCGATTTCAAGCAGTCTACAAAAGCCTGGGCCTCTATTAAAGGTACGGAAGCCTAACCCTGCAGAAGTGGGAGGGGCTGTAGGTGGTCCCAGTGTAAGGGGATGGACCATGGCTGATTTGGCAACCTCACTGCCAAGCAGAGTTAAGAGGCTAGTTCAGAGATCTGGGGTGCTAAGAACAAAAGTGGGCTTGTACCCAAGGCTAGAAGGAGACCAGGATGTGCTAAGAGCCAAAAGTGGGCCTGTGCCCAAGGCTAGAAGGAGAACAGAATGTGGGGTAGGGGAGATTGGAGTTGCCCATCCATGGGTGGAATTAGACTTACCAGGGATAAAGGCCGGTCTAGGGAATCCAAGGAAAGTTGGGGTGGCAGACGGCCACATTAGAAGGCTGTTCTCAGGAGTACAAGGCAAGTTGGGGGTGGGGACAGCCTGTGAAGGCTCTAAGAAACTAGACTGAAGAATTGAGCTGGTGCAGGGGATCAGGATGCAGTGATGTGTCTGGACTAAGAGGGAAGCTTGGAGAGGGTAGTACTAAGAGCAAAAGCGGACCTGTGGCCAAGGTTAGAAGAACAGGATGTGGGATCACGGAGATTGGATTTGTTCAGATTGTGGGAGTCAAGGTAGAGTGGGCAGGATCAGACATAACAGGAAGAAGCTGGTCTCTAGAATCCCAGGCAAGTTGGGGGTAGGGACAGCCAGAATACAAGGCTGATCTCATGTGTGCAAAGGCAAGCTGGCAGTGAGGACAACATGTGAAGGCTCTATGAAACTAGACTGAAGAATTGAGCTGGTCTGGGTGCAGGCCATCAGGATCCAGTGGGTGGGTCTGGACTAAGAGGGTAGTCCAGAGATCTGGGGTGCTAAGAGCAGAAGTGGGCCTCTATTATCTTATGTGTATGAATGTATTGCCTGAATGCATGTAAGGGCACCCATGTCATGCAATGCCTGTGGAGGTCAAAAGAGCACGTCAGATTCCCTGGAGCTGGAGTTACAGATGGTTGCTACTGCCATGTGGGTGCTGGAAATTGAACCTGGGTCCTCTGCAAGAGCAGCTAGTGCTCTTAACAGCTGAGCCAGCTCTCCAGCCCCCTGCCTCATGAGATCTTACATGGAACTAATTCTAAAAGTATAGTTCTGAATTCTACTTTTTCAGCAAAATCTTACTCTTACCAGATATTTCTTCCAGTTATGGACTGATGGCATATGGAAAAGTTTCCATAGAAGTCCTCCCTTTGCATTATTTGAAGGTTATAAAATTTCAGCTTGCTTACAGAATCTGTGATAATTATGCAATAAAAACCAAAGTCTTTAAGCAACCAAGACCTGTTTATATAGTAGTAAGGATGAACATGACACAGGGGCTTATCTAACAAATATCATAACTCTACCTTATGTGATATGCTAGGTTTCCAGGGTTACCATAACAAAGTTCCACAGACTATTGGCTTAAATAAATTTATTATGGTTCAGGAGACTTGAAGTCCAAGGTCAAGGCATCAGCAGGATTGGGTACTGAAGGTCACGTGGAGAGGATTTTGTTCCAGGTCTTTATCCTTGACTTGTAGGTGGCCATCTTCTTGTGTCTTCATAGCCTGCTACTTCTGTTGGTTCATTTTCTTATTGTAAGGATAGCAGCCATATTGGATTGGGACCCAGCAACTCATTTAAATTACCTTTTTAAACACTGTATCTTCAGATAAGGGTACAGTCCAAGTCACTGAACATTACGACTTCAACATGTAAGCCAATCTCATCTTTCTCACGCACACGTGGCATACACTTTTCCATCATATCCTATTAAACTCTCCATCTTATCTCCCAGAAGCAGTTGAAAACTAGAACTAGAACTCCTGGTTTGGAGTTAAACAGGCCATTGCCCAGTAGCATCGAGGTGCTGCCCATAGAGGTACATCATTCAGCTAGAGGAAGAGGATTGGCCTCCAGGTTTTCTTGCCATCATGTTAAACTAGAGGATATGGGCTTGCTAATATGCTTTAAAAACTACATTATTAAAATAGATGAAACGAGTTTCTTCTGTGCAAACAAATGTTTTCCTCATTTTGTAAAACACTACAAGAAGTCTGAATGGCTTTGATTACTATTGTTGAATTGTAGCTTAATTGGTGAGTATAATACCCTGGAACTGAGCATTTACAAGGAGGCTCTCTAATAAGAATCCGAAGGAAAGACCAAGCTTCTTCCAGGGCCAAAGGAAGACTATGTATATTTGCCATAGGAGAAAAGTGATATATATATTTTTTTACAGTTAGGAATTGTTCAAAAGAGACGAAATTCTAAGAGCATCAGGTTTCCTTAGTTCTAACTTTGATGGGTATCTTCTATTTGTGTTAAAGTGTGGGGGAGGCTGTGCTCCTTGCAGAAAGTGTCACCTTACTCACCCAGGTTGGTACTCAGGGTTACAGGCTTAGCTTTTTGTTTCTGCCATTGAGTGAAATGTTGACTATAATGTTAGGGCATTTTCCATGACCCTCAAAATTAGAAGTGGTGATATTCTGATCAAAGTATTTTTGGATTCTTTTCCTAGTTACCAAACTAAGTAATATAGGCTCTAGCAGGTAGTATGGGGTGTCTGGATAATGGGACGATAACATTTTTGCCTATTTACTATTAAGCATTTTCTGATTCAGGCATTTCATAGATTGATGTTGATTAAATCACTGGGCCATCTAGAATGTTTATACAGCCACTCTGCTTTAGAACCTGTCATTGATTTGACAGACTAATCAGAGACAAAGCAGATGCTACATTCCAGAAGGAAATATTAACAGACATTGGGAGTATAGGTATTAGTCATGACTAGTTGAGTGACTATAGGAAAAGGTACAGATAGAGCATCAAGGAAAAAAACACTTGGAACCTGTGTGGAGATGGAGAAAATACAGGGTTCACCTTCACTGGGAAAGATGGAGAGGGAACATAGAAGAGTCTCTCCTCCCACTCATATCTGGACAGAGTTGGCAGTAACAAAATACCTCAAGTAATTGGAAATGTATGTCAGTTTCCAGATTAGATTTTGAGTTATGATTGATACATAGTCAAATCAGACAAAGAAAATGATTTGCCAAACATTTATTGATTTTTTTTCACACAGTCCAATTATTTCAACAAGAATGTCTTCAAGGTAGTCTAAGGCCTCAAAGGATTGTGGGCTGATGAGTCTAGTCAGCAAACCTTTAGAAATTTGTCCCTGTGTTCACACATTTCCCTCTTTCCTTCCTCTAACACTGTGAACTGTCATCTGCCCTAGAGGAAGACAGATATTTACAGGAGCTTGAATAAGTTCCATCTAAGCCAAAAAAGTATAAAAATAGCAATATTCTTAAGCTCATCAAAACTTGGGGAGATGGAACTGAGTGCTACAAATTATAGCAGAGTTTTAGAGTTAAGTTTGAGAAGCACCGTGCTCTTGCTTAATGAAAATTTTAAGTCTAAAAATTTAATGCCAAATTCTAATTTTCCAGCTAAATCTTACTCTTAGATTTCTTTTTCCAGTTAGGAGCTGATTTCACATGGAAATTTTTCTGAAGTCACTTCCCCTGCATTATTCGAAAAATGTAAATTTCAGCCTGCTGATGGAATCTGTGATAATTATGCCACAAAAACTACTTGGGTATTAGGTCAAAGAAAATGTCAACTTGAAAACTGTGTGCTCTCCACAGGATGCTAGGCCTAAAAATAGAGGGCCCAAGGCGTTTGAAAAAATTGCTGCATTACACCTTGCTGCTTCTGAAGGCAATAATCAACCTGCCACTCAAACAAAATTTGTGAAGCAAATTAAAGGACTTATTTTTAAAAGTGCCCATCGACTCTGCACCAAAGAACTAAGACATCTTGCAATAAAGAACTACCCGAGGAAGAATGGAAGGCAGTAGAAAGTAGTGAAATGAACGAAGTTTAAGAATTTGGAAGAAAAAACACATTCTAAGATTAGAGTTTTCCCACAACCAGAAATACCGAGTTATCACATCTGATTTTCTTCTGCTTGAAGCTTTGGCAGGTGGTCGGGACCTTGGCAGCATCCTTTAAGGGCGGTACTGAGATCTCTGCTCTTGGATGTACTCATAGAGAGGGCTGGAACGCACCGGAACACTGGCGAACTGGCGTGTGCCGGGCTCTAGGACACGCGGATAACCCTTGTCTTGGGATTGTCTCTCCTGGACTCGGCGCCTCTGCTCCTCTTCCCGCTGGCGACGGATCTGCTCTTCTTGGAACTTCCTCTCCTGCTCTTGGCGAAGTTGCTCTCGTTCCCAGCCGCGCAGCTGCGGCTCCTCTTGGAAGTACCTGTCCCGTTCTTGGCGACGCAGCTCTTCTTCCTGGCGGACTTTCCTGTCCCGTTCCTGGCGGCGCAGCTGCTCTTCCCGTTCCCCGCGCAGCTCTTCTTCCTGGCGGACTTTCCTGTCCCGTTCCTGGCGGCCCAGGGGCTCTTCCCGTTCCCCGCGCAGCTCTTCTTCCTGGCGGACTTTCCTGTCCCGTTCCTGGCGGCCCAGGGGCTCTTCCCGTTCCCCACGCAGCTCTTCTTCCTGGCGGACTTTCCTGTCCCGTTCCTGGCGGCGCAGCTGCTCTTCCCGCTCCCTGCGCAGCTCTTCTTCCTGGCGGAATTTCCTGTCGCGGTCCCTTCTCAGCTGTAGCTCACGTTCCTGGCGCCTTAGCTGCGGCTCTTCTCTTTCTAAACCGAGATCTTGTTCCCGGCGGACTTTCCTGTCGCGTGCCTGGCGGCGCAGCTGCTCTTCCTCCTGTTCCCTGCGCAGCTCTTCTTCCTGGCGGAATTTCCTGTCGCGTTCCTGTCTTAGCCGTTGATCCTGTTCCTGGCGCCTCAGCTGCTGCTCCTCCCTTTCTAGACCGAGGTCTTGTTCCCTGGCGAATCTTCTGTCTAGTTCCTGGCGGCGCAGCTGCTCTTCCCGCTCCTGGCGCAGCTCTTCTTCTTGGCGGAATTTCCTGTCGCGTTCCCGTCTCAGCTGTAGCTCAAGTTCCTGGCGCCTCAGCTGCAGCTCTTCTCTTTCTAGACCGAGATCTTGTTCCCGGCGGAACTTCCTGTCCCGTTCCTGGCGGCGCAGCTGCTCTTCCTCCTGTTCCCTGCGCAGCTCTTCTTCCTGGCGGAACTTCCTGTCGCGCTCCTGGCTTCGCAGCTGCTCTTCCTCCTGTTCCCTGCGCAGCTCTTCTTCCCGGCGGAACTTCCTCTCCCGTTCCTGGCGTCGCAGCTGCTCTTCCTCCTGTTCCCTGCGCAGCTCTTCTTCTTGACGATACTTCCTGTCGCGCTCCTGGTGGCGCAGATGCTCTTCCTCCTGTTCCCGGCGCAGCTCTTCTTCCCGGCGGAACTTCCTGTCCCGTTCCTGGCGGCGCAGCTGCTCTTCCTCCTGTTCCCTGCGCAGCTCTTCTTCCTGGCGGAACTTCCTGTCCCGTTCCTGGCGTCGCAGCTGCTCTTCCTCCTGTTCCCTGCGCAGCTCTTCTTCCTGACGGTACTTCCTGTCGCGCTCCTGCTCTTCCTGCTCAAGGAACTTCCCGTCTCTCTCCTGTAGGCGTCTTTTCTCCCCCCTTTCCTTCCTCAGCAGCTGCTCTTCCTCCTGTTCGCGGCGCAGCTCTTCTTCCCGGCGGAACTTCCTGTCCCGTTCCTGGCGTCGCAGCTGCTCTTCCTCCTGTTCCCTGCGCAGCTCTTCTTCCTGGCGGAACCTCCTGTCGCGCTCCTGGTGGCGCAGCTGCTCTTCCTCCTGTTCCCGGCGCAGCTCTTCTTCCTGACGGTACTTTCCGTCGCGCTCCTTGGCATCTGGCCCTCCGGCTTCCCTTTGCCAGTGCCGCTCCAGCTCCTCCGCCTGCAGGTCGCGCGGCTGCCGGCGCCTGGTCTGCCCCAGCGCTCGCTGCCCCTCCTCATCTCGCAGAGGACCGCCATCCTGCAGGGATCGCCCGTCTCTCTCCCGGGGGCCTTCCAGCTGCCTGCTCTTTCCGTCCTCCCTGCGTTCGGAGGTGATCCTGTTCTTTCGAGCTTCGCGCTCTTTCTCTGGTTGCCACTGCCAGGTCAGATCCCCGCGCTGGTCCTCCCTGCGGTACTGCTGCTCGTCCTCCCGGGTCAGTTGCTCACGTTCCCGGCGCAGCTGCTGGTCCTCCCGGCGGTACTGCTCTTCGTCCTCCCGGATCCGCTGCTCGAGCTCCTCCTCGGCGTCCCGCGGCCTCCCGAGCTCGCGCAGCTGCTCGTCCTGCTCCAGCTGTTGCAGCTCCCGATCCTGGCGTCGCAGCTCCTCGCGCTCCTGGCGCAGCCTCTGCTCCTGCTGCTTGCCGGGCCTGGAGTAGACTTTGTTCTGGCGCGCGTCCGCCTCATCGTCCAACTGCAACTGCCACCTCTGGCGACTCTCGCCGGGCTTAGCCCGCGCCTGCTCGGTGTCTTCCGCCCACTCCCTCCCGCGGCGCAGCTGCTGCTCGCGCCTCTGCTCCAGCTCCCTCCCGCGCTGCTGCAGCCGTCTCTCTTCCTCCCTCTGCTCGCGCCCCTCTAGCCTTTGCTGTTGCTCCTCCGCAGAAAACTCCTCCGCATCGCGGCCTTTGCTCCAGCTCAACGGCTCCTTCTCGGCGAGGCGCTCCTCCAGGTCACGGGCTTCGCGCCTTTGCAGTCGCTGCTCCTTGTCGCGCCGCTGCCTGTCGCGCAGCTGCTTCCGCTGCTCCCGCTGCTCTTCCTCTGCGCGCTCCTCCTGCTCACGCGTCTTCTGCCAGCTTCGGCGCCCAGGCTCTTCATCCCGCTGTCTGTCCTGGGGCTCCAATCGCCTTTGGTCTTCCTGCCTGCGGTCTCTCTTTCGCTCAGGCAGGACTCGCTTCTCCTCTTCTAACCCTGCGGCCTGGTCCAGAGCATAGTAGCAAGCTTGAGCCATCTTGAAGACGAACAGGAGGAATTCATTGAAGTCCACGTGCCCACTGGAGTCTCGGTCCAGAAGTTCCAGGGTCAGATCCACGGTCTCAGGGTCATGTGGTCTCTATGAAAAGAGTAAAACAAAAGTTTTACAATTAATTATTTAGAGGTAATAAGCCTTTACTTTCACATTTATTTTATGCCATGTTGACACTCAGGAGCTATTCAGAGCAATAGACAAATGCCCAGTGTGTTTTGTTTTCCCATATAAATGTGAATAACATTTCAAAGCATACCCTTGTTGGAAATGTTTGTGTATTGTGATTGAGTGTTGATCGCATGCCTTTAATCCCAGCACTCACTCGGGAGGCAGAGGCAGATGGATCTCTGTGACTTCCAGGACAGCCTGGTCTAAATAGTGAGTTCCAGGACAGCTGGGGCTACTGGGGAGACCCTGTCTCAAAAAGACCAAAACAAAACAAAACACCAAAATAATAAATTCATTCTAGCTGGGTGAATAAGAAGGAAAGGTAAAATAGAATTTTATGGAGATTTCAAGCAGAGGTTTCTGTTTGAAGTAGCCAGGAGTTCTGATTCGATTTCTATTCCGTGTTTGAAAACAAAAACATTTATAGCAACATAATTTTAGAGAACAGGCAGCTTTCAGTTACTGAGAGTTGGAAGCACAAAAGTCTCTCCAGTGTAACCATTAGTGACAATGTCCTATTAACACTTCATTCCTATTAACAGTACCATCAAGTCCATGAAATACTTGCTAGCACTTTGATACTGAGGTGACAATACCACTTAAGTATCTCAGCCTCAGAAATGAATGAGGATGTAGTGTAGACATGCCACGATGTAAGCTCAATGTAAATCACCATTCTTTGCTCTGGTCTTTCCTGGGAGGAAGATAGATAGCTCTAAATCCACAGGTTTCCTTCTCTTGTCAGTTCTTACCTGAAGGACAGTTCCAAGTTCCCTTTCAAGAAGGTTCTTCAGGTCTTTCTTGCTCAGTGATGCTCCATCACAAGTATGTGTGGCATATTGGTTGAAAACTTCAGTGATGTCAACAACGCTTCTCAGAAGTGGAGACATTTTTTTCTTTCCTTCAAATTCAAGTAAACCTAGAACAATAAAATAAGGTCCAGAATTGAAACTCTGCTTCTGCTTTGGGGAAGACACATTCACACTGATTTAGACAGATCTTTGATCAGACACTTCAGTAGTAGTTATAGAGCATTCTATCTTTGAATATTGTATTCAGGAAGAGGAAGAGAGCCACTGAGAAATTCCAAGCCAAGAAACCATCTTCAAACTATACTGTCATTAGCTTTTCACTGTCCATTCAATCTGGACATCTATGTCCTTTCCTTTGTTTTGCCATATATTACAGCAGATGGTGAAGAGATCAGGGCAAGAATTGGAATGTGATATATTGCTGCTCAGAGCAACTTCTAAAAGTTGAGCAAAGAGGATAGGCAACAGCCAAAAGGCGAAGGAGGAGTTGAGCATCTCTGAAAGTGGATAGAGCCATGTACAGCCAGTTGTGTCAGTAAAACAAATAGCATGCTGGAAGGGAAATGTGAATTATTCCTAAATGTATAATCCATAAGAGAGCTAAAGTGTAATTTGTAAGTTATCAATTCTAAGATTAAACACTCTTTAATCAAAAGGTAGCATTGTGACATCTAGATATATTAAGGCAGAAAAGCAATGCATATTGTTTGCCTCAATTCAATATACTATGGATATTCACATTTTCTTGATGATGTCCTTCCTGGCTGGCTAACCAGAGGCCATGAGTCAGATAAATCTGTAAACTTTGAATGACATTGGTTTTATGGCTTGCCATTGTTAAACCCAGATAAATCATTTGAATGTTGGTATTATAAGCAAAATAGGATCTGAAAATAAAGCTCAGTGCTTGTTAGGATGTGCAAAATCCTGGATTTGGCCCCCAGAAATGAAAAGAAAAAGAAAAAAGAAATAGCAACAACAAAAACCTTATCCAGAAGCAGGTGAGTGTTAAAAAGAACACCTGGATGGTTTGCTGGTGGTTCACCTAGGTGAGTTTTTTATTCTCACTTCAACTCCCACCCCTCAGATGCCATCCATAACTGTGTGAAGACACCTGTGTCATGTAGAACACATATGGAAAGAGACCAGAAGGGTTAGCACACTTTTGAAATGATAGTTTTTAGAAAGATGAGCCCCATCAGAGGTGCACATGATCATCTCTTATGCATAAGTATTAAGTTCAGAGCCTTGAGAGAACTGTCATGTCTCTCCATTCAAGTGATGGTTCTAACCGTAAGAAAATGGGCATGGTGGCACATGCCTTTAATCTCAGCAGTTGAGAGACAGAGGCAGTTCACTCTGAATCTGATGACAGCCTGGTCTACATAGAGAACTCTAGGCCAGCCAGTGTGACATAGATCTTGAGAGAGAAAGGAAGGAAGGAAGGAAGGAAGGAAGGAAGGAAGGAAGGAAGGAAAAAGGAGAAGGGGATGTAATAAATGATATTTAGCCGACACTATAAGAAGGAGACCCCCCTCTGGCACATAGAACCCACCTCTGTTCCCCAACATCTACTGTGGCTGCAGAATGAAGAACCATACAGAAGAACACGATCCCTCAGAATGGGACTTACCCACTTCACCAGAGGAAGAAGTCAAGTGCTCACTGACACTGCTGGCAAGTGTACTGGGTAACTGGGAGCTAGGCCTTTTATAGGGGTTTTAATTGTGCCCTGGAGAGGAACTTAGAAAGGAGACACCCACTCTGTGGGATGACCTGATTCATTCAAAGCTCAGCTCCACCTCTGTCTCCAGGAACGGCTTGTTTATCTCACTATTTGCTCACGTAGCTATTTGGCATGAGGTTCACAGAACTTGCCTCCTGATAGGGTACTCGCCCCACCTAATATGAATGGCAGATTTTCTAATTTTCTTTAATTGTTAAAATGAAGTGAAATATAAAACAAAGATAGTGAATATTCTGAATTTTGATTTATTAGGACTTTATTACAAAAGAGTAACCTGTAGGTCATTTATTATTTTTTTAAAAATATTTAATTGTGAGTGTGTGTGTGTGCACATGAGTGCAGGCACATGTGGCAACCAAAGGCAATGGAGCCCCCTGGAACTGGCAGCTTGATGTGGGTGCCAGGAATGAAACTCTGGTCTTTTGCAGAATTAAGTACTCTTGACCACTGAGCCATCTTTCTAGCCCCCAAGACATTTATCTTATAGAAGATACCGTTCTGGGTGGGCATTAAACAGAAACTTTGACATAAACTAATGAAAACCAACTAATTTCTCCCATGGCATGTGACAGCCCATGAAGAACCAATCTTAAGCCCTGTCTGTAGGGCACTTCTAGGATAGGATGATGAGAGAGAGGTAAGGAATTTCCAAGTTACTTTTCTAAAAATGAAGGTGGGAAAAAATTTTACATTTGTATTCCTCTGGTTTTCCCACAGACTGGCGATTGCCATCATAGGAGCATATCTTAAAATACGTGTTTATTAAACTGTTCATAAGAAAGCATATTATGAAATTTCATTCATAGAGATAGTACATCTAAATGAAATTTGCTCATTTAGTTTTCTCATTAGCATATTGAAGCCCCTGGAGAAAAAGAGCTAGTGTAATGCATTATTGTAGATATAATCATCCTGCTCAGCTAAGTTACTAATGGCTATGACATCTAAACACTTGAGTTAGCTTCTGCTGGAAACACATTAAGGTAATCGGTCATTCTAGGCCATTACAGCTGTCAGGGCTTTCTCAACCCTGGTGACCATTTGTGAATCTTAGTGCTATTTTATTGTACCGAACTGGATTTACTTCTGGTTGTCGGTGACTCCCACCCTTCCATTTCAGACTACATGAAACTTTGGTTCATAATAAGTTTATGGAGACTATTAAATGATTCAGTGGCCTCTCTGAAATTGTCTGTACCAAAAGCAAGTATTGATTTTCTGAATTTTGAAAAGAACTTAGATTGCATTTGTGGCATGTGAAAATAAGGGACCTGAGTCTTGGGCTGTTTCTTACTGTGCAGCTCGGTCCAGGTGATAGTGGGCTTGACTTCTAATTGACCCCTCACTTGCTGCCATCTCAGACATGGGCTAAATGGAAGGTGGAAGTGGTAGGGGATGAGAAGACAGTTGTAAACCTAGCTCGTTTCCGCCTCCTTAGGGTTTCAGCCCTGAAGTCTATAATTCCTACGTTTTTTTTTTTCAGAACTGTCATTATTTATTGGGTTCAGAGAATTGATTTGATGTGGCAAATCCTTTGTCAAGAGCGAAGACTTCTCCTTTTCCATTCTAATTAAAGTGTTACATAGCTCTCTTAATCTTTGGACCATCTTGAGCAATGTACACACATAACTATAAGTCATCATAGAACCCCTCTTTCATTGAAGGTCCTGGATTTTACCTGGGTGCCCTTCAAGGGATTCCCTGGACAAACTCTGCATTATCTTTTGTGTTCTTTGTTTTGCTATTTATTATTTATTTATTTATTTATTTATTTATTTAAAGTTTTTTGAGAGAGAACCTTACAATGCAGCCCCAACAGAACTTGCTATGTCAACTAAGCTAGCCTTGAACCCATAGAGATCTGCCTGCTTCTGCCTCCTGAGTTCTGGAAATAAAGATGTGCACCACTGTGTCTGTGATTTTGCTTTTGTTTTTAATACAGGGTCTTGCTATGTAGTCCCGAATGGCCTGCAGCTTGTGGTTCTGCTTCCACCTTGTAGACTGCTTCTGCTTTGATCCACCTCTGTGTGATCATCTGGAAAGCTCCAGCCCAAGTTTCAAATTCTGAAATAAGCTAGATCTTAACTTCACTAATGTGTTTCTTACCCATTCCTCTAAGTCCAGCATACAGGAAAATATTTAAAAACCTCAGAGAATTGACTTTCCTCCTTCTTGTGGCTACTCCATCTGTAAATAGGTTCCGTCTCCTAGCATGCTGGTCCCTTTGCTACATATGTACTTTTATTTCATGCCATCATTATTCAAGAGTATCATTTCAGTAGCAGTCCCTCACAGGAAGTTTGGACAGAAAAACAATTTTAACTGTTTTATAGTTTCTTAAAAAGTTGAAAACTGCCAGAGAATGTAGGAAATTAAGTTCTAACAAATTGGTTTCATCGATTTTTATTTAAGACAAACTAAATCTTTGAAAGTGGTGAGATCCACCCATGGTTCATCAAAGATAATTTTTTTTCTTAATAATTTGAAGACCTCCGTGTTTTTATAGTCAGTTCTCACTGTCTTTGTTTTTTAAATTTTTAAACTGCATTCATTCATTTGTATGTGTGTGTGTGTGTGTGTGTGTGTGTGTGTGTGTGTATGTGCGCGCACACACACATATATTCATATGGAGGTCAGAAGACAACTTTTGGGAGTTGGTTCTCTCCTTCCAGCATATGGCTCCTGGGGATCAAACTCAGGTCTTTAGTCTTGGTGGCAAGTGTCTTTACCAGTGGAGCCACCTTTCTGGCCTGGCCCACAGGTAAAACTCAATCACTTATATCATTCAACCATGAAACCCTTCTTAGTGTTGACATCTTTGGGGATGGGATTCTGATGTAGTAGCAAAGAACTAAGAAAGTATTAGCTTTTCCTGGTTTTTATTTCACTCAAGGGCTCATTTCCCCCCTTTTCTTGCTAGAATTCAGAAAAATAAATGAATAGATTTAATATTTTGTGATGGTCAGCCATGTCCAGGCTCTGCTGGAGATAGCTGGATAACCTCCAAAGTAAAAATTTGATGGAGCAGAGAAGGTTCCAGTGCCATCAGTCCAACAGACTTCTTTAGAACTTAGTATGAACCACCATGTTGACATTCTATGTCCAAAGCAGGATGATTTTAGATGGCTTTGAAAAAAGTAAGTTTCTTTTGTAAGCACTCTTAGTACCTGTTTACTGCAGAAGTTTTCATGTGTTAAATCCCCCAAGTTTGTCTATTGTTACCTCTTATTCATTGACCTACCTTCTGGGACCCCCAACTCTGCCAAGCAAAACCCTAATACAGTTTATTTGAAGCTTCACTAAAGTTCCATCTCCTTCCCGAAACATTCCTTCTCCTTTACATGCAGTGATCCCCACACCAAGCATCATCAGCCTCACACAGTCTGGTGCTAGTTGGCATCATTTTCATATTCATCTCTATTTAACGGGTGCTGATTCTGTCTCCTCAGGTTTTAAGTTCCTTGAAAGTACTGCTCTACCTTTTCTTTCTACTGTGTGTTTAATAGAAATCCTTGCTGATATCATTTTATTGCATCTTGGCAGTTTAAGTGGCCAGCAAGTCAGAATGAGGTGAGTTGCTTACTCTGGGATGGATCATCTCTTTGGGTGATGGCTTAAAGATGAGGGAACTCACCATCATGGGACTTAGCCTTTCTGGGGCCTCTTTCTAATTTTGCTACTTACAGGGCAGGTAAGGGAGGAAGTAGTGCTCCACCTCTCTTCCTTCTCCATGTCCATCACTTCACCC